TATCCCTTAATGTTATATTGTGCGTTGTTAGGTGTAATACGCATTTTGTTTGTTTATTTTTTTTGCTCCGAAAATACATTTCGAATGTCTCTTCGTAGACACAGACAGGTGGATTCTCATAAATAACAGCTTTACCTTCTCGTTTCTCGCAGCGAGGAAGAAGTAGCCAATGAATGTTTTATTCAATGGACCTACTCGTCGTATGAGATTTTCATATTGATGACAAAGCGTCGAATTACGTCGATAACAAGACTCGAAATGATTTATGAACGCGTCTAGATGTGCTTTATTCGAGAGAAAAAAAAAATAGAAATGACAGACCGATATAAATTTGATGTCTAACTTGATAAAAAAGTTAAATGGTAATATATTTGTTCGCACTGCCTTTTATTCCGTAGTTCAGAGAATTCGGAACTTACGGCGGATTTTTTCTATTTTTACTTTAATTTTATTTTCGATATAATGTTAAGAATAAATAGTAATAGGACATTTTTAAGTAAATCGAGTTTGACAGTAAATCGTGTGATGTGTCTTGCATAAATCCGCTGATAATTTGCATAAACAATATTTTGTAAGCTGTATTTTAAAGCACTTGTTAAAGCGGCATTTGCATATATATGCATATTTTGTTACATATATTCGTGCACAAAAAGAGAAGAATAAAATAATATTAAATGAAGGAATATTTTATCAACATAAAATTGTTATAAAATATTGTTATTGACGAAATATATAAAATCTGTTAATATATAATTATACTTTTTTAGATGTTTTTTTAACGTTCGGAATAATCATTAAATTGTTCACACAGTATATAAACCGATTAGTGTAGAGAGAGAGAGAGAAAGCATCTTTCACTTTATCTTTACCCAGGCTAAACGAAAAACACGCTAAAGTTGTAGCATGAAGGATTAAACGGCGGATAGTGCACATGCAAAATATTATTTTTATTTTTTTTTTACACAATTTATTTTTAGCATCATATAAAATGTTAACATGATTTATATTCAAACTTGAAAAACCAATTAAGATAAAATAATCTAATAAAATATGTTTTGCAAGAGAGCTTCTCGTAATAAAACGTAAATTACGCAAGCAGTAATAAAGCTTACTGCGCTATTAATCTAATTTTAATAACTTTTTACAATCACTTTTTTTGCGTCATGCTACTGAATTTTGTAAATTTATCTTTGAAATTTCTTGCAATATTTGTGCATTAATTATTATAATTATTTTTATAAATAAATTTTTCTTTATATTTTATGATTTATATCGAGAGATTGATCTAGTGTGTCGCAGAAAACATCTATCTCTTTTGCCACGAAAATAAATTTAACAATCCAAGAAAGAGTACAATGTAACCGCAAGCGCGATCGCATTTTATTGTTGTTGATTTAAAATTTTTACGGTTTGTTGGTCATTCCTTGGGATTCAGTGCGAGTATTTCGCGGTTTCTCAAATTGCCGCAATGGGAGTTGGTTTACGAGCATTCTCAATCTTTAATAAAAAAACTATGTAGCGTTATATTGCGCACTTAAAATACGTTTAAATTTGTATAAAATATATAATTATATTACATATTTATGTAATACATATATAATTATATATTATATAATTATATATTTTATTTAAATATTAATTGTATAATTTATTTATATATTATTTTTATATGAAGTATATAATTATATATATATATTTATTATATATTTATATAATACATATATAATTACATCTTATATATTACTCCGTAGTCTTAAATTAATTTATAACAGAGCTTGACAGTTCTTATATTTCCAAAAGAAAGGAAGGAACTTTTAATTTTCGGTTCTCGCGATAATTTAATATTCCGAATCTCTTTTTCTCGCAAAAGTTAACTCGTTGCACTTTATTAATTAACCACAGCTGCGTTGCTCACAGAAATCCATGATTCTTTTTCCCGTCCAATCGCTTTGAATCGCTTTACGATACGTCCTTTAATAACTGAAATGTTATCTTTCACCGTGAGGTAAAACCTAAAAAACTGTTGAGTCCTCTAACGATATCAGATCAGAAAATCGCCGTATGTATTGTACCCAGCGGCGTGAAAAGCAATTACGGTCCATTTTGCAAAGCGACGTGCTTGCAGCGCCCGGCTTGAATGAAATCGTCATGATATTATTCCCTCTCGAACGTGAAAATAACCAGGTAAATGAATTATAAATATGTCGACGCGAAGCGCGCATCGCGGATTTCAACGAGGCTTTGCGTTTCAACGAAATTGCGATATGTAGGACCCATTACATAACATTTCCCTTCGCCTACCTAAATCAACAGTTTGTCGCTTAATCCGATAATATCTCTCTATATATTGTCTAAAAGTACATATATAAACTTGTATATAAATATATATTAATATAAATTATATATAAAATATACAAAATTAAATATTTTTTTTTATATATTTTATATAATTATAATATTTATATACTTTAAACAATTTTGTACTTTTAAAAGAAATTGAAAAAGTTTTTGATTTCTTTTATAATTTAATGCAATCTATTTAAAACACTTTTTATGTACTATTTTTTTCTTTAAATTAAATTTTAATTAAATTTAAAAAATTCAATTTTCTCTATTAATCTTTTAATAGTATAAAATTTTTTTGATGAAAAGCGTTATTAATTCAAGATTTCAATGATCTTTTATTATTATTGGTACAAAATATCTGACATATTATTGACATGCGATTTTTTTTATTAACATTCAATTACTTGAGTCAGTAAAGGATCTATTTTATTTTTGCCACGACGATGTTACTTTTAAAAGATCAGATAAAATCTCTCCGGTGACACAACAGAAAAAGAAAGAGAGAGAGAGAGAAAAAGGGAGCACGCGATCTCGATATATTTTTAATTACGTAGGATTCTGAGTTTTTTGACGTGATATAAAAATAGATTGCGCAAGAAGAGAAGGAGAAAAGAAGGACGACTTGATGGATGGAAATGTCTATCTGGCTGGAGATCTCCAATAAGACCAAACCTTTTCCACAAGATTTCGCAATAAGCAGGGTTGACATTTCGTAGCTCGAATGAGCTATGAAAAATTTTTTTGGCTTTTTGTTGATTTATTTCTTTATCTCTTTTGAGAATGAATATCAGATGTTCTCGATGATTGCAATAAGATGGCTAATAAAATTGTAATGAATACGTGGAAAAATGGCAAAGTGCCATCTTGATGATTGATTTGTTTGTTTAAGGTCGCGCGTTTGTTTAATTATAATTAAATGGATTCTCAAGAGTTTGTGCTCCAATGTTGTTCTTAGAAAATTATTTAAGATCGCAAATATCTCTTGACACAGAGAGATCTGTTGAATTTTCTTTTTTGTTGTTTAATATTCCTAACTTAATTAAATCTTTTGTGCAATCGACTTGCAAATGAATGTCTCGAGACATTTTTTATGTCATTAATATCGATAGCGATAATTTGTTTTCTTTATTCATCGCTTTCTTTTCTTCTCGTGTGCCTTTATTAAACTTACGAAAATACTTGTGCGGTAAATTTGAGGATAGAAATGTAATATCAATACCAAAATGTGCTTTCCCGACAAATATAGCAGATCAAGAGAGAGAGAGAGAGAAAGATCGTTCTAATTAGATTTCCAATTCAGAGTTGGCCAGCTATTTGCGAAGCATACACCTCGTTTTGGGTATTTGTGTCCACTTTGTACGCCATTAATAAATGGATTCGTGTACGTTCGTCGGATATTATGTCACGCACTTCGTGTATTCTATCCGCTTCTGTTACGATGTATATATTGATTACCGTGCAATTTGGTTAATAATCGTTCTGTTATTCACGCCGTCATTTGCCACGTCGACAGTTACAAATTATATATAGCGACGCGAAACATTTCAAAAATATTTTATGCATTTGTTTTATTCGATGGAAAAATTTATTATTATGGATCTCGGAGCTTTATATTCCGAATTAAATCGAAAATATTTAGAACGTAAATAAATAAAAATAATATAATATTAATAGAGATTATAATTGTCTGATCCAGCAATTTTTTAAAATTATTTTTTGTACATTAAATTAAATTTAATTATACTTATGACAGATATGTATGTTTCGCGTCACACGTGGAAAATATAGAAAAATGTTTCCAAACATTTCTTAATTCTCCCAAGCAATTTTTAATCTGAAAGACATTTCGAGGAATTGTTTGAGTTAATTCTCATTACATGCGGAATAATAAGCAATAATATTCCGCTAACAATTCCACTACGAGCAATATCTTGATGGCAAATAGAGATCGAGATCCGACATGGCAATACCCCAGAATTATACAGAAACGTACAATTTATTATACAGTTCTGCGTAACATTGATTAATTAATATCATCGAGTAACCTACTTTCGCGCTAATTGCTGTGCGATGCACAGTATAGTATATGTACAAACTCGATCGTTAATTAACGCGAATCTGCAGCTTATAATTGTCACATTGATCGCAACGAAGCGGAACATTTTTTTGAATCGTCTAAAAATTAACCAAACACCTGTTATATCAAATATCTTTGAGTAATTCAGGACATTTCTAACGATGGACTGACTATATTACCTTCAAAATTATTGCTATACGCGGAGCATGAATTTTTAAAAATCCATTAAAAGAAGATATGTAGACATTTTTAATCTAGAATGTCTACATATCAAATTAAGGCTCGTCAAATTCAGAATTAATCATGCAAGAGCTACCCAATTATACGATCTCTCTCCCAATGACAATCTCTCAAACTTTATTACATCAAGAGAAAGCATTGAGAATTCTCCAGAAGATGGTGTCTATCTTCATTATTCGAGTCTCATAAAATTACTGGAATAACTTGAGAAGATAAATTCAAGAAAAATAAATTGAGAAAAATTTTTTTAATTAAAACATATTTTAAATTAAATCGAAACATTTTCTCGCTGCATATAAAAAAATTTACAAGGCCGCAAAGAGTGATCTAAACTCACGTGCGCTATCATGGATGGATAATCTGGGTAAAGCAGGAAGGCTCCGACGAGATGAGCGGCCGAGAAGACGATGCCGGCGATGCAGGCGTGCCTGAGCCTGATCGGCAGAAGAGCGTAGGCCATGTAGATGAAGAAGCAAACCGCCAAAGCGGCGGCGAGAGGTCCACCAGCTCGAGGATGTCTGAAGAAGGGCGACGAGTCGTCGGCATCGTCGCGGCTCACCTCGTGCAGGCGGGCCAGATGAATGCTCAAGGTCACCTGAAGGGCCAGCAAGGTGATCAGGACCGCACCGCTGACAGCCGCGAGCCATATCTCGTTCATTCCCGGTCTGGAGATGGCTGCCAGCAAAACTGAAGAAGAAAGATTTATCACTGCTTGGGAATTTCGAGCTTTGACATTTTTTATTATTTAATCCTTCTATCATACAGGGTGTCTAGCCATCCTTGAAATTCTTGAAATGTTCTGGAATTTTGTTTTTCCTTTGAACATCCTGGAAATATACTTGAATTTTTCGTAGATCTTTTTGATTCTTTTTTTTTTTTTCGTTGCTTCTAAATATTCAGCTAAAAGAGTCAGCTGAGAATTCGAGTAAAAAATATTTAATCTTTTACTTTATAAATAATACGATATATTTTTTATTTACGGAATTTAAAATGTGTTGCGCATAAATTGTTTATACACGGAGAGAATTTTTTCTTACAATTTATCTTGAAAATCATGATAATTGAGGAATGGAATTTTATAAAAATTTCTCTGATTAAATATTTATTACGACAAAAAATATTAATATTTTATTGTGGTAGATATTAATATTTTTTATTGCAAGAAATATTAATCAGAGAAACTCTTATAAAATTCTTCCAATGTTTCATGATTTTCTGGGTAAATTCTAAGAAAAAATTGTCTCTGTAGATTTTAAAAGTTCCAAATATAATATAATATAAAAAATACTATATCGAATATTTGTAACGCATATATTAATTTTCATTAACGTGCAATTTATATCGAATTAATAAAAAAAAATTTGTTTTTTATTTCTTTTACATATTTATCATACTATTGGAAAACCGTGCAAATTTCTTTAAAATGTCCTGGAAATGTTCTTAAATAACACTCAAATTTTACTATACACCCTGATCGTAATTTTTTATCTTTCAATGTACGGATGTCTGGATATTCGATAAAAGAGCTAAAAATGTTTGAGAGATTGTTATAAAAAAAACTGCTTCCAATTAATTAATGCAAAATAAATGAGTGAGAAGTCTCGATATTAGATCTTTTAGCTAATCTGAGAGTACAACGTTTATCATAGTTTTCCAAGTTACACGACTTTACAAATAAGCTTTCGCAGATAGGGACTCGATTAAAGTTTCTGGTACAATATTGCTCGAGCTTAAATTCAGCTCAGGAAGGAGATATGAAAGAATGAGCTCTGCGATGTCCCTGTCTGCAAACCTTGTCGTGTTTTCTGATGCTTCCGGGAGAAAACTACTTGTAGGCAATATTCTTGTGCATTATTTATGCCGTAGTAGCATGAAAACATAATGTCACGGCTCGCAGATAAGACAACGAGAGAGACATTCTTTTACGTGTCGGATAAAATGTGCGTTTTTTTAGTGTTTGTGATACTTGACAATGCTGTGTGCATTTTGGCGACTCTAACAGTATTTAAATTGCATATTTTACGAAAACTCGACATTTTCGTGTGAAGATGGATTTTACACATTTTTACATATAGATGTGATGTAGCAAATATTCCGTTTATTTGCAAACTTTACTGCGAGTAATTTCGATTCGATATTTCATTGACAGAAATATAAAAAATCCATGAAAATTTAAAAAATTCTTTTACGTTAAATTTCAGATTTATACATACGTAACAAAATTTTAATATAATTACAAAAAATAGATTGACCAAAATTTTATATATATATATTTTTGATGGAAAACTAAAGATTTTTTAAAAGTATAATTGATTTAAATGTTTGTTTTAATTTCCGAATTTTTTCATTGTTGACAAAAATACCTCAAGGATTTCATGATTTAACATTTAATTAATTTATCATATATACATATATGCAAATTATACATTTTGAAAAAATAATATTAAAAAGTCAGGGAAAAAATTAATTTCTGGTTTTGGAAAATCTGAAAAAGTCAGGGAATTTTTTTTTATTGAGTCTGCTGGTTCTAAACTTTTCGCCACCTTTTATTATAGTGAGAAACTTTGAATTAAAAAAAATTGGGGAAGCAAATGTAAACTCGATATTTGAAATGAAATGTAAATTCTCTTACCGATGTAAACAGCGATACAAGTCACTAGAGTGACAGCTAGGGAGAAGTTTTCAGGTCTCTGTAAAAGCGTGAAGAGCGGCTGATCGGTCTGCATCAATTTCGCAACAAGTAGTAGGCCTAGTGCTAACGCCAAACCGACTAGTAGAAAGAGCACGTGTGTCATATTACTTTGATTCATGCGTAGGAAGTAGCGTTGATACAGCATTTCAACCTGAAACACGATCAAAGAATTCGCCATGCTTTGTTAATCAAATTTTCGTTAGTAAACTGATAGTAGGTATTAAGAGTATGTCTTATGATAGAGATGAAGTGAATATCTGAGATTTCGTGAAACAGGGTTTTGATGACATATCTGGGAAAATATGTGTATAATATATAAAATATGAGTTTTCTTAAAGATATGTAAAATATTAATATTACAATCTCTCTCTAATCACTATAAATTATTTTTCCCCGATAATAATGGATAAAGGAATAAAAAATATGTTTTATTCGAACTAGAGAATTTTATATCGTAATATTATTTTATTTAATATATTTAAATAATTATTTTAAAAAGTAAAATTTTAATAAGGAAAAATTCATTATATTTTATACAAGAACATCGTCTTATGATAAAGATGAAATGAATATCTGAGGTTTCATAAAACAGGGTTTTGAAAACATATCTGGGAAAATATAATATTTATAATATATAAAATATGAATTTTCTTAAAGATATGTAAAATATTAATATTAAAATCTTTAGAATCACTACAAATTATTTTTTCTCGATAATAATGGATGAAGGAATAAAAAAATGTTTTATTCCAACTAGAGAATTTTATATCTCAATACTATTTTATTTAATATATTCAAATAATTATTTTAAAAAGTAAACTTTTAATAAGGAAAAATTCATTACATATTTTATGCAAAAACATCGCAGATTAAAGAAATTGTCTAAAATATCTGTTATGTATATTTACGGGATATCGGCAAAGTACTGTCGCGTTAAATTAAAAATTGTCGAATGAACTTGTTGAATGAAAATATACGAGATGAAATATTCGTTATAAAAAGAAAAAAAAAAGAAAATTATCAGTCACAAGTTACGTCTGTGTTGAAAAAAGTGCATGTAATTTCCAAGTGCATTCGTAATGTTGCTCAATCGTACGCGTGCGTTTCATACCATGATGATGGATTAAAATACTAAACGAGATCGAAATGATGAATGGACCGGTATCCCTTGTCGTTTGCTATGTCTACTAAATAACTCTCGCCGAACATTCCGACTGTATTGTCGATGACGGTAATTCCAACGTGGAACACGATAAGGTCTCGCCAATTCTATAGACAAAAATTCGCGAGAGAGAAATCGAGCTGCATCGTATCGATCGGACGATTGTTATCCATCCGAGGATGTCTTCCTACCTCGATTCTTTTCCTCGCGTGCCGCGTCTCGAAATTGAATTTAATCAAACTCAATTTTTACGCTGGCAATACTCCGGAAAATACAATTCGTCCGACGTCGACAAGCAAAAATATTTTGCTGATTACATTTCTTCATATCTTTTTTTTTACTAATATTTGAACGTATCATCATTTTTATACTGTGCGAACAAAATAAAAGTAGAAAGGAGTTTCTATTAATTTGCGCTTATTTGTTTATTGTTCATTAATACGTTTCTTTATAAAAATATGGAGTAACATCTGTGATATTTTTCGAATGCTAAATAAGAGAAAAATGATAAAACTGTAGTTATACTGAACAAAAATTTCCATTACAAATGACAATAAATTTAAATTAATACAATAAATTGAAAAAATTCAGACATATAAATAATATAAATACATAGATAATGGATGCAGATATTAGACTTAAAACGTAATTGTTTTTAAATTCCTCTTTAATTATTTTGAAATAAACAAATAATTTTAAACAAAATTAAAGAGGAATTTAAAAACAATTTTGTTGCCTTAATATCTCATTTTTATTAGTTCTTTTCATATCTGAATAAATTAAAAAATACAGAGTTACAAAAATGTCAAAAAGATTTATAAATAATTCATATTAATTCAATTTCATTAGTTTGCGAAATTACTTTTTTTCCTTTATTTTTTTTCTGTAAAAACGTGACATTATCGAAGTATATTTCTCGAGAGGGATGTATAATGCATCTCTAAAAACGCTGCATTGCAGACGTATAAATCAGAAATGTGCTAAGGCGCCCGAAGTGGAAGAACGCATAAAAATCAAATTTAATCGTTTCTGGTTTTTCCACTTCTACGTCACGTCGTTTGAGTTGAGTTTGATTAAGTTGCATTTTCGACAGATGGTTTGCAATCTTCGTGGAAGACTCGCGATTCGCGTTACATGCATACAAATTGCAGCAATCCCCTTGAATCGACGTTATGCACCCTTATCAAGAGTTTTGGCTCTTTCACCCTCGTCAAATAAAGTCGCACCTGTCAATTAATTTAGTGCTAATTATGTGCAAAATGAGCAGAGTTATCCAATTAAAATTTGTGACAAATTGTTGATTTTTATTATACTGCTAATTAGAAATTAATTCATTGAATTTCGTATATATTTCGATACATTGTGATTATTTTGGTAACAAAAAAATGGAAACAACAAATTCTTTTAGTTATTTTTATTTTTACTTTATATTTATTAAAAATAAAATTTATTTATTAATAATCTTTTAGTTATTTTTATTTTTACTTTATATATTTATTAAAATAAAATTTATTTATTAATAATCTTTTAGTTATTTTAATTTTTACTTTATATATTTATTAAAAATAAAATTTATTTATTAATAATCTTTTAGTTATTTTAATTTTTACTTTATATATTTATTAAAAATAAAATTTATTTATTAATAATCTTTTAGTTATTTTTATATTTACTTTTTATTCATTAAATATTAAAATTTTTAAGCTATCTTTTATATTCAAGCTATTCTATATTTATAGTTTTTTATTAGCTTAATGTTAAACGAGCCTCTCTCACTTCGAACGTAAATTCCTGTTAAATGATTCAAGTAACAGAATCCAGATTACAGGAACAAATTAGTACATAATTAGCGCACAATTAACTAAATTGATAGGTATGATTTTATTTGGCGATAGTGAGGGAAAGCAGCTTAATAGGTATGCGTACGATGTATTGTGCAAAATTTAACATCACAAAACAATATAATCTGTGATCGGGTCGCTGTAAATGGATATCTTTGTAACGATGTGAATTTCAAACTGTTTTCAGAGATCTTCTGAGAATCTGAGATATTCCACACCGATATCTAAATATTAAATATCTATCTTTCTCGATACATCGAAATATCCACATTATATGTGTATATATATTTTTTTTATTTTTGTTTGATTGTATTTAAATAAGGACGTAATGCATAAATCTAGTATTATTGTAATTATATAATGAAATATATTGCCTTCATATACATTTCTACTTATATTTCATATCATGCATGCGTATTTTATATCTCGCGAATATATATGATAAATATAATACCATACAATCTCATTAAATGAATATTTTTCTTTTTACCAAAGGTATATATTTTAAGCGTATATTTTTGTGCAGAATTTACATTATAATAAAGACCGACAAAAACTCATTATAAAATGCATCGCGAGTTGCAAATATAGCTGCAGCTGTTTCCAAAAATAAATAGCACGTATAGCTAGCTGCAAATATAATATATCGTACAAACAAGAAAAAAAATTATTTTTGTGCTAAGAATAAATCGCGTAGAATCAATTTTATTTATATTGCAATGCTTGCGAGAAAAGAAAAGCTTTCTTCTCTCTTCTGCCCATATTTAAAAAAATTTTTTTAAATAGATTTCAGAAAAATGTTTTAAATAGATTTCTATTATAAAATTTTGATATCTATTTCCATAAATTAAAATGAAATATATATTGGAGTGAGAAAATAGCGAAAGAGAGAGAGAGAGAGAAAGAGAGGAAATGCATTGTTATTCAATATATCGTTTGATCTATTTTCAAAAATGCTTTCACGCGCGAATGTAATGTATTATATAATCCATTGTGTTGCGTTCAAAGGGAGAAAGGATGCCCTGTGGAAATTTGTGACGTAAATCGCAAACATAAATCGCGGTGAAACCATCTCGTTTAACTCTCGGTTGTGTATTCTCGTTTCCGCGGATTAATCCGAACTCCAACGATCCGGTTTTCTTATGGTGGTTGAAAAATAGAAGTTTCTCTCGTTAAGGAAATACTTTTGTAATGACGATACAACGACAGAATGTTGTAAAGTGCAAGTGCCGCGAATTACATCGAGCTAAAATGATGGATCAAATTCTTCGGAGCAAAAAAATCTTTCGTCGTTTCTCTTTCTCCGTTTTATCGCGCTCAGACGACTTCCGGGTAATCGAGCGTTGACTTCCGTCTGGATGCGATTTTATCGCGATTCATAGGATTGCATTCTGTGACTTTGCTGCGCTGCGATTGCAAGTCGATAACAATCGCGACGGGGAATGACAAATATTGGATGGATTAATTCGATCACGAAGGGAGATATCGAATTATAGGTATAAAAGATCACGAATAAATTTTGTTAAAGTTGTATTGCAATTTCAATTTTATTTTTATTTATTTATTTATTTTTTTTTTTTTAGGTCTCCGGAAAAAAAATTAAATTTATTTTTTAACGATTTATATTTTCTCTGAATGTAAAAAATGTTTTTTGGATGATCGATGAAATATTAATTAACTATAATAGCGTATATGCGATGCTTTAATTTGCGCAAAGGAAGCGGAAACACAATTGATTTTTATTGTGCGACGAAAAATTAATGATTGCATATATGCGACCGAGATATATTCCGAGAAGTAAATGCATAATTTTGTCGAGAATTTTCCTTCATTTGCATACATTTATGTGTACCACATACAATAGTTACTCTTTGAAAAGAAATATCTTTTCTCGCCGCCTGCGGGTTCGTGTTACTGACATGCAGTATTTCAATACTCGGAATTACGAATGTACGTTTAATTATAATGAAAGCGTTTATTAATGATTAATCATTACTTCTGTTATTTTTGTATCTGTTTTTTGCCTATTTTTTTATATTAAAATTTGACTTTAATTAAATCCTTTTGAACGCTTTCAATTTATTATCCGTGGAAGCGATATAAGATCTGTATTTTTCAAAGTTATTTTTTCTGTAAATTATTTTTTAAATGTATTATTACAATCTACATTAACTGCATTCATCTCCGGCATTTATATGGAAATTTTCCAAGTCCAAATTAATCCGGGCATCTATATGAAAATTTGAGTATAAAATAATCACAGTGTTGACGAATGAGAAATGACATTATTTAAACCATCCGATATTCTGTCAATTCTATCTCGCAAAAACATCCCATATTATTATCGTGTAGCTCAGCGTTTGCTCGAACATATCGATAAAAAGAACTATTTTATCTCGTCTATCGGGTATATAACGACACAGCACGACAGCAGTTAGAATGACGGAGAGATTTCCTTCGGATTCGTCCCTTCTTACGAAAGAGTGATGGCGAATAAAAGAGCCCGTCGAAGATATTGCATCGCCGGCAGGAATATCCCGTTGGATGCAATCAAATCGACACCCTGCTCTTCCCGTTTCCGGTTTCTACGTGACCAGGCAATGCGAATTCTCCCTGCGTCTGGAAAAACGTTGTGTGACTCGTATCGCTTTTTATTTTTTTTTTAATTTTTTTTTTTTTTTAATTTTCTTTCTTTTAATTTTTTTTTAATTAAAAATTTTTTTTATCTCTTTCGATTATCCGATCACGTTTCTGTGACAATGGTGTGGCGGGCCAATTTTCAAATTCACGGATCGTCACCTTCGAATTCCCACGTGCGTCGACTCGTAAACGCGGGTAGCGATTTTTGAACGGATATTACGTGCATTTCTGTCAACACATTCGTTTCACGGATCGTGTAACTCGCGTAATCCTGAAACCTTCATACTAATTCCATATTTTTGATCCGCCGTTTATATAAGATTTCCCTTTTGACAATTATTGTTCTCATCGGGATTCATTTATATTATTAATATTAATTAAATTTATTAATTAATATTATTAATATTAATATTAACTAATTCCCGCCTATTGTATTTGGTATTTTATTTATTGTTCACTCTTTACTTGATAATATTATATACATAGAGTTTTGTAATATTAATGGAATATTCTTTTATGACATTTTAAAATATAAGAATAATGACAGTAGTTTTATATTATATATAAAGAGATATCAAGTTTATGCAGAAGTTTATGTAGAAGATTGATTACTACGGTGGAGATTACACTATAATATATTGATGGACATATTATTGATATAGGAGATAATAAATAAGGCTTACTTTAACATTTACTTGAGCTATTTGCTTAATATTAACGACAGTTAATGGAGTCTCAACTTGAGACTCGAGGTCCAACTTGGTCAACTTTAATGACCTGGTTATTCGAATCCAGTTGCCATGATGAGTTTGTTTTATATAAAATTCAGGATTTGGATTTTGGACTGAGTTATAAACGAAGAAAATAACTTGTCAAGAAAATTAACAGCTTGACAAACGTATTTGATATTTACGAGATTATATAGGATATTTGTGTTTATAAGAAAGTGATATGAAACTCTGCTAAATAAATGAAAAATGCATTCGTCTCGATTTTCTGTAAAATTCCAAACTTTTGAAAATAACGGAAAATAGGAAAAATAGCTTTTGACATAGATAAATAGCGTTTTTTGTCAGAAAATCCTTCGTTAAAATCGTTTTAAAAATACTGCAATATTACGATGCAATATCGTAAAACCTCCTGTTGTTTTTGAAGAATACATTATTATTTAACAAAGCAGCTGTCTAGCTTTACATAGTCTGAATTTTTTTCCTTTTCTAGAAAGATTCAAATTTTCTTAACGAGAAGTATTTTTTAATATAAAAACTCAACTCTTAAAAATATACAATAAATTGAACGATGCATTTTTTTCGAAATTTTTCAAATAATAGTTTCGCATACAGAAATATGCGATTTTACATAATATTGAAACAGATAACATTAACAAAGCTTCCGCGCTTTGCAGTCTAAGTTTTGAAGTTACATTCGATTACGAGACAAAGTAAAAACTTGAAGTCGGGAATATTCTTCGATCGTAATATTCGCGTATTGAAAATTCCAAAAAAAGTAGTTCCGCGATATCGGAGCTTTTGTTGGAACGCGCGCGCTGCATTTGACAGGTGAGACATTTCGATATGGTTTCTGTACGAGCCCTACGGGCGATAAAGGGCTCGCTAACGTGTTTAACCACCAGTTCGTTGCCGGGATTTCGCATCCTCTGATGCGTCGTGCATCATCGGGGGATCTTCAAGGCATGCGAAAATTGTATTTTCCATCGCGGGAAACCGCGATGCAACGCACGGATATACGGGGTGTCCGGTAACTAACGGACCAATGATTAAGGGCGGATTCTCTGGCCAATTTGAGACGATTTTTCCTTAGCAAAAATGTTGAGAAGTCAATAATTTTCGAGTTATAAGCGATTGAAAAAAATGGGTTTTTTGAAAACTAAACGTTTTGGAGTTAAAAGTCTAACATAATTACATTCTTCAGTTAATTTCAAGTAGAGTTTACTATAATAAAATTTTAATTCGAGGCTTAGTTATAAAGATACATAATGACAAATATTGGAAAGTTGTAAAAAATGATGACCTTTTTCGACATTTTCGCTGAGGAAAAATCGTTCCCAAATTGACCAAAGAATCCACTTGTTATCGTTGGTCCGTTAGTTACCGGACACCTTGTATCTATTCGTGGCATACAGAGGAAAGAGCAGGGCGTCTAGCCGTTCTTGAAATTCTTGAAATGTTCTGGAATTTTGTTTTTTCTTTAAAATCATGGAAATGTATTTGAATTTTTCGTAGATCTTTTTGATTTTTTATTGCTTCTAAATATTCAGTTAAAAGACTCAACTGCGAGTTTGAGTAAAAAATATTTAATCTTACTTCATAAATAATATAATATATTTTTTATTTACGGAATTTAAAATGTGTTGCGCATAAATTGTTTATGTACGGAGAGAATTTTTTCTTACAATTTATCTTGAAAATCATGATAATTGAGGAATGGAATTTTATAAAAATTTCTCTGATTAAATATTTATCACGACAAAAAATATTAATATTTTATTGTGGTAGATATTAATATTTTTTATTACAAGAAATATTAATCAGAGAAACTCTTATAAAATTCTTCCAATGTTTCATGATTTTCTGGGTAAATTCTAAGAAAAAATTTTCTCTGTGTAGATTTAAAAAATTCCAAATATAATATAATATAAAAAAATATTATATCGAATATTTGTACCATATATATATTAATTTTCATTAACGTGCAATTTATATCGACTCGATAAAAAAAAATAAAATTTTGGGTTCCTTTTACATATTTATCATACTATTGGAAAATCGTGCAAATTTCCTTAAAATGTCCTGGAAATGTTCTTAAATTACATTTTCAAATTTTACTAGACCCTGAAAGAGAGACATTCATTTGTGGTATTAAATTTGTGTTTACGAAATGTCACGAAGCTCGAAACAGTTGCGGATTTTCGCCCAGCCAAAACTTGTTGCGCGATTTTGCATATCTTTGATGTAAAAATTCATGTTTTCTCTTATTTTTTTTTTCCTTTTTTTCTCATTTTCTTTCTGTCTCTTCACCGACGTGTCTGATCAAATTCCTATATGCAGGACGCGTCAATCTACGCCATCAACGTTCTCTTCTCTTCTCTTGTGCGTGTCTCCGCATGACAAACTTAGATTAATCCCTGATAACGTCGTTGATTTGCATGACAAAACGAGGAATGTCGCTACCATCAGTTCAGAACAGATGCTCAGGATTGGCGGGTTAGTAGTTGTTGGTGACAGCTTCTTTGAAGAATCACGTCGTTTAACGAGATGAGAAAAATTGATTACTAAGGAACTCGGGTGAAAAAACATGTATATATAACATATTATAAAATATTTGCGTCTGCTCGTGAAGATAAATTGCTACTTTCGTTATTTTTTTATCGTAAATACTATAAGAAATTTATCATTATAAACTGTGAGCGTATAATAAAAGAATTATTATTACACACAAATAAACTGTAAAAGAATTGTTAATATCGAAATTACTTATAATAATTAAAATTTATATTTTTATCAGAAATAACATTAAATCGTGAAAAGTTCATTATTACAAGCTGTCGAAGAGATTATATTGCATACAAATAGACTGCAAAAATTGTGAATTTTGAAATAATATATAATAATTAAAATGTGTATTTGTATATCAGAGGAATAATACATCAAAAATAATATTTATCATAATATGCATTAAAGCCATTAGCAAAATTAGTTCCCTTCACATAGTTACAATTTCAAGAAATATAAATAGTTATTACGGGTCACATCGAGAAAATTGGCGCAATTTTAATTTAGCTAATTACAATACGTTTTTTCTCTCGGCTGCGTACAAATGCTGCCTTTACATGTGTGCTTGACTTTACGTTAATTTGAATTCCGCCTCAATTCCGATATTTGCGGTGAAATAATTCCCGTTTTGATAGAAAGTAGATTCGCCTGTGTATGATCAGACGCGCATGATTGCGGACGTTTAATCATGTCACCTTTGACTGAGCGAATTCGCAACTTACGTCGAATATTCATTATCCGATATTTACCGGGTGCACTAACTGCAAAGAGTGTAATTACGCTCTCATTAGGAGCGAGATATTCGAGTAATTACTCGGAAGCGCGCGCGGAGCAAAAGGAAAAAAAGTAGTATGTATAAAGGACTGGAGAGGCGGCCATCAAGAGTGTCTGTTTCGCCTACCTGCAGATTCTTGAAGCGATGAGAGCCGCATAAAGAGCTCAGGAACCTGCTCAGAGCGCATTTCGGCGTGCGCTGCGTAATTCCTGCGTTCGCCGTCACTTCCGTTATGGATTCCCTTCCGGTCGTCGGCGCCATGCCTACCTCCGAGCCTCTGGCCACCTGGAAACAAATCGAGATATACAGGGTGTCCGGTAACTAACGGACCAACGATTACAAATGGATTCTTTGGTCAATTTGGGAACGATTTTTTCTCAGCGAAAATGTCGAAAAAGGTCATCATTTTTTACAACTTTCCAATATTTGTCATTATGTTATTTTCATTTTTTATTTATTATAATTTATTGTAATTTATTAATTCACGTATTTATTACAATTTTATGAATGTTATAAAATACAGAAAATTTATAAATTATATAATAAATACATGAATAAAATGAAATTATATATATAATATAATATATACAGCGTGTATCTAATAGGCGTGAAGAATTTTAGATGATTATCTTTATAACTAAGCCTCAAATTAAAATTTTATTATAGTAAACTCTACCTGAAATTAACTGAAGAATGTAATTATGTTAGACTTTTAACTCCAAAACGTTTAGTTTTCAAAAACCCATTTTTTTCAATCGCTTATAACTCGAAAATTATTGACTTCTCAACATTTTTGCTAAAGAAAAATCGTCTCCAAATTGGCCAGAAAATCCGCCCTTAATCATTGGTCCGTTAGTTATCGGACACCCTGTAGAGGGGTGTCTCAGAACTGGCGGAAAAGTTTTTAATGGCAGATTTCTGGTATCATTCGGAGACGATTTTTCCTCGGCGAAAATATCGAGACACCAATCATTTTCGAATTATAAGCAGTTGAAAATAAAGGCTTTTTTGGAAACTAAGCCTTGTGGAAATAAATATATTAACAGAATTACATTCTTTAGTTAATTTTAGATAGAGTTTGCTTTAATAGAATTTTAATATAAGGCTTAGTTATAAAGATACATAATTACAAAAATTGGGAACATGCTAAAAATGATACAGGAATCTGCCATTAAAAACTCTTCCGCCAGTTTTGGGACACCCGTAGAGTGTCTCAAAAGTAACGGAATATATTTTGTGTACTGTATATAATTTCCGAAGATACATTTTTCAAAATAATTAAGGGATCAAAAATAATTGTCGAAAAAATAGGCAAACTTTAAATAGCTGTAACTTTGTTTCGAAAAATGGGAATTTAAATTTTAAAAAAGGGTTTCAAAGCTTGAAATCTCTACTTTTAAAAGGTCATAGCTTTTTTTATTTTGTTCAGTTCTGATATTTTTTACGTACAGAAAACGACGATCGTAACAAAATGGAAATTTTTTTTTCACTTTGTAGACATGTCGCATACACAAGAAGATTTGAAAAATTTTTTTGACATTTTTACGTTAAAGCCTGAAGTTTTCCTTGCAAAATTGTTTTTTTAAATTAAATTTCGAGCTTTCCTTATCGAGTTATCTCAAATTGAACAGAAAATGTCATTTTCTCTTTAATTTGAGATAACTTGATAAGGAAAGATCAAAATTTAAATTTTGAAAACCGATTTGCAGGGAAAACTTTACGCTTTAAAGTGAAAATGTCAAAAAATGTTTTAAAATCTTTTTGCGTATGCAATATACACAGTCTACAAAGTGAGAGAAATTTTTCTATTTTATTATATGTTCGTCGTATTCTGTATGTAAAAAAATATCAGAATTGGAATAAATGAAAAAAGCTACGACTTACCAAAAGTAGAGATTTCAAGCTTTAAAATCCTTTTTAAAATTTAAGTTCTCATTTTTCAAAACAAAGTTACAGGTATTTAAAATTTGCTTTTTTTGATCCCTTAATTATTTTGAATTCTTTAAAAATTGATTACATACAAAACAATTTTTTTTTCAAAATTAAATTTAAAGCAGAAATTTTGGAGTAATAAATAAAAAATTACATATATATTTATCACTGAGTTGAAAATAGATTTCGTAAATGTTATTTTTAGACGCTTTGAAAATAAGCGAATGTGTAAGTATTCGAAGTTCGCGATATAAAACGAATTTGATCATTTCAGTTAATTTCTGGGATACCCTGTACTGTTGCTGGATATAGCGATTCCACGTGCAAACAGCACAGTGAATGCACGATGCATTAATGTAATTTAACGAAAGGCATACACTGAAGCCGACGAACGTGTTTGGCAGTGTTTGTCTGTAATACGATAATCGTTGCCTAGGCCAGTGCGATTATTTGTTCATACGTCGACCGCGGGTGTATGTATACAGTTTCCATAGCGATTATTCCTCTCATATCGAAGAGAAATTCATTCAAATGCGTGCGCGAAACATAAACGTTATTGGCAGATTTTTATTAATATTTGTTTGTCCGCTTTTATTGTTTCTCCCTCGCGTCTTTTCCTGATAATTTTTTTTATTAAATTTTGCCACGCAATTCTTTCCATTATTAAAACACGTTTATAAAATCTATTTTGAACTCAATGACGAATATACATGTTTAATTATTTATTATTGCTTATTATTATCTTCAAAATTGTTTTAAAAATTCTTATCAATTTATATTATTTTTCAAAATTTATATTATCTTTTTTTAAATTATATGTATATATATTTTTATTTTTATATTAATATTGATGGGGATATAAGAGTCAATAATTTGTAAAATTGGCGCACGATAAATATAACAAAAATTCCAACAGAATGAGTATAAAAAATACAAAGCGCGAATCAAAGTTTCTCGATCGATTATGAAATCTATTTTAAGTTCAACGACGAATATACATGCTTAATTATTTATTATTGTCTCCAAAATTGTTTTAAAAATTTCTATCATTTATATTATATTTTGAAGTTTATATTAATTATATATTATCCTTTTTTTTTTTAATTACATGCATATATATTTTTATTTTTATATTGATGGGGATATAATAGAGTCAATAATTTATAAAATTGGCGCACGACAAATATAACAAAAGTTCCAACATTATTTATTATTGTCTCCAAAATTGTTTTAAAAATTTTTATCAATTTATATTATCCTATTTTAAATTATATGTATACATATTTTTATTTTTATATTAATATTGATGGGGATCTAAGAGTCAATAATTTGTAAAATTGCCGCACGACAAATATAACAAAAATTCCAACAGAATGAGTATAAAAATACAAAGCGCGAATCAAAGTTTCTCGATCGATTATGAAATCTATTTTAAGTTCAACGACGAATATACATGCTTAATTATTTATTATTGTCTCCAAAATTGTTTTAAAAATTTCCTACCAATTTATATTATATTTTGAAGTTTATATTAATTATATATTATCCTTTTTTTTTATTACATGTATATATATATTAAGAATTTAACATTGTCTCCAAAATTGTTTGAAAATTCTTATCAATTTATATTATCCTATTTTAAATTATATGCATACATATTTTTATTTTTATATTAATATTGATGGGGATCTAAGAGTCAATAATTTGTAAAATTGCCGCACGACAAATATAACACAAAAATTCCTATAAAAAATACAGAGCGCGAATCGAAGTTTTTATCAATCATATTGACGAAATTGGTGTTTCGTTGTTTATTGGCAAAGTTCAACATCGCGTGCAATGTGTGCGATGTCTCGCGCCACCCTGTTGAAAATCGAGCGGACGCATCGAATGGGGGTTAAAAAGGATCTGACAAAGTGGTTTCGCCTTTCCGCATCGTTTCCTGTTTCCTCGTTTTGCTCTCAACGATTTGTACCTTTCCCGATGGACTACCGACTCGGCCGCGATAATGGGAAACGTGATGCGCGTGCGGCGAAGATATCGAGCGATTGTCTCGTTGTGCGTCGGGGGTTGTTAATGAAGTACCTTCTCTTTCCCGGCGATAGTCGAAATTTTATCCGACCGATAACGAGGAAATATCTCCCGCAACGAAGAAAGATTCGATATTCCCGGATAATGATAATTATTCGTCGAACGGCTTTGAAGTTGATCAGGATTATGCGTAATAATTCTATATACACTTCCACACTCTCCCTCGTAATCCTGTATCTAGTTATTAATATTACACAAAAGACTGTATGCAAATTGCGCAAATATCGTACGTGAAAAGTTTATTAAAATTCACGAGATGATGGATTAATTGCTCTCTTTCTCTCTCTCTGTTTTTCTTCTCTCCAGGGGAAAATAAAAAATAAATTATCTTAAAATAGAAGTTTATATTCAGTTTTCTCGTGGGCTTAAGTATATAATCTCGTGGAGAGGTTGGTAATGACATATAAGGTAAAACATTGATGCATAATTAATTATATATAATAATTAATACATGATTATATATTAATTGTATGTAGTTAAAAATCGATATATATTAATATATAAATTATGTATTAATTATTAATAGTATTAATAATACGATAGACATCAAAATTACTCATTGCTATTAGTTTTTAACTATTATATAATTATTCCTTTGATAAGTGTTCAAGTTAAAAAATAATTAGCGCAATCAGATATTAGTCGTTTAATTATAACTGAATAACACAAAGAATACATACAAAGTTATAATTAAATATAATTTTATCTGATTATTTATTTTTTATTTTTTTAACTCGAACAGTTCTTTTTTTATAATCTGTAATTTTTCACTGTAATATAATTAAATATAGTATACGATTTTATTTTAATCTTCTTTAATCACATTTAGCAATTAACTCGATGTATTTTATTTATTTAAATTATAGTATGAAATAACTGATATTCTTAATTCTTGATTATATCTGCGATTGAAAAGGTATAAAAGTATATAATTATATTAAAAATTTAAATTAATTAATGAAAGGCTCGTATAAATTAACAAAATTGAACAAATCAAATATAGTAGGCCAACTGAACGAGCAAATAAATAAGATGTAAAAAATTTTTTATTAATAGTTAATAATTAATTAAATTATCATTCCGTTACAGAAACAATATAAATCGTAAACGTTTCGACTGCACTACAGTCTTTTTCAATACATAAAAGTTAAATATTAAAATACAAAGTTAAATGTTAAAAATACAAAGTTAGTTAAATATTAAAATATAAAATTAAAACGATTCTTCGCTGTTGACCAATAGATGTGCAAGACGATTGGTCTGAGATGCCAAGTTATGCGACATTTAATCATGCTGCGGATATATTACGCGAATTAAATCAATGTCAGATAAAATTAAAAAATCTTTCAACTTACATTATCGTTTTAACAAGTCCTTCTTCCCGATATTTCAAGTGTGTGTTGCGAAGTCTGAATAACAAATGTCAAAGTAGAGAGCGTGATGTATTTATTTATTATCAATGTTTTTTCTAAACTATGATTCAGCAAATTTTTTAAGTATGTCAAAATAACTACTGTCTAACAATTCGGTGTCTTTATTTAAATTAATTCCATTTTTCTGTTCTTTAATGTGGATCATTTCAGATATTAACCTTTTATGGTAATTCTTTTCATGATCCATAATTTTAATGTTGTCCCAGTCAAATGTATGTTGTTCGTTTAGAATGTGTTCCGTGACAACCGAATGTTTAGCAGAGTCTAATTTAATATTATTTTTATGTTCTTTAAGTCTCGTTCCTAACTGTCTTTTTGTCTGTCCGACATATCAGACTTCGCAACACACAGTGCAGTCGAAACGTTTACGATTTATATTGTTTCTGTAACGGAATGATAATTTAATTATTTAACTATTAATAAAAAATTTTTTACATCTTATTTATTTGCTCGTTCAGTTGGCCTACTATATTTAATTTGTTCAATTTTGTTAAAAATTTAATATAATCTCAAATAATTAAAGATTAATTTAATTTAACAAATTTAAGAAAAACGTATTTTATTTACTCAAATTATAATATGAAATAACTGCTATTTCTCTTAATTCTTGATTAGATTTACGATTGAAAAGGTTTAAGTGCATATAATTACATTATAAAAATTTAATAATTTTTAATAATTAAAAATTAATTCAATTTAACAAATTTAAGAAAAACTTGTATTAAATTGTATTTAAAAGTATTTATCCTGAAAATCATGGTAATCGTGAGACAGTATGGTATTGAATGAATTTTATAAGAGTTTTTCTGTTTAATATTTACCACAATAAAAATATTAATATCTACCACAATAAAATATAAAATATACTCGATTAATTTCCTATGTACATATTAATATTTTTTATTGTGGTAAACATTAAAAATCTTGTATAAAATTCTTCCAACGCCATATTATCCCATGATTACCATGATTTAAATTCTAAAAAAATTCTCTCCGTGTATTTAAATACAACTAGTATTTAAAAATGTGTCGGACAGTATTTTGTATCTTATATTTAAATATTTTGTTTCGAAATAAACGTGACGACTCACCGTAATGATGGAGGGTCGTGGCGCGCCGGTGAAGTGCTCGATGACCTCCCAATTGGACTTCTTAATTGGTGGAGTGTGCGGTGTTTTTGGTGTATTAGGCGTGTGCGGTTGAGAAGACGGCGTCGAAGATTTGGAACCCGACGTGTCGAACAGTAGTTCGACCCGGGGTTTGCCGCCGTCATTGCCGCTGCTCACGTGTTGCCTTAGGCTGGCCCATCTCCTGGTGGTCCTGGGGCGCCAGATATCGTTTTGGGCCCGATCTCGCCCTGTCGAAAAAAAAGACAATTCATACGACTGAGAAAAAAATTTTATATTCATAAATATATTCGCGGGTGTCTTTTTTTTTATTAGTCACTGATAGATGTTAAAAGGGTTTTTTTAGTTATTTTTTTAAATTTCCATTTTTCATGAGAACGCTTGGACTGTATAATTAATTTTTAATTATATACAAATACATATACATAGAACTTGAATATAAATATAAATGTCGGTGTATAAATATTTGTGCAGAGAAAATTAATAATTTATGTTTATTGTTTTGCTTGTATTATTTATTGAATGTATATGTTTTTTTGGAAGAATTAAAAGTTGCAAAAACATAAAATGCAATGAAAAGAAGAAATAATATATGATTCTGACGTTATATCGATCTATTTTATTATATTACATATTGTATAGATATTATTTTTGTTTTATTGAGAAAGATATACTTTTAACATCGGATCAGAAGAAAACTGTGTCATGCCATCGGAGACACCATTATTTATGTCGCCTCAGCACTGAAAGTATCTGCTCGGTTCAAAGCAGAGGCGAAACAGCTCGAGCAACGTCAAAAGAAAGTCAACACCCCGTTACGTAAATTTTCGCACTTTGCGTAGAAATTGCAGAACGCGGACGGAAACGGAAGCCGCGTTCTTGTTCTACAATGCATAACGTCATGCATAAGTTGCACTTGTGTGTCAAAAGTTCAAAAATCTTCCTTTTTCTCCTCATTGATCACGATTCTCTCCTTACTATCTTTTTACGTACATATTTCAAATTATATATAAAAATATCTTTTATCATTTCATTAATTCTGGATTAATTTGGAGAACAAAAATATATAACAGTAATGTTCCATCGTATTGATAAGTGATGTATTTTGATTTTTTTTGTTGCTTTTTATAGAAAAATTATATTGCTTTATGATTAACATTAAATATAATATTGTATATTTATTAATTTTTATTACATATATATGTAATATAATATATTTTATATTAATTAATAAAATATATTTTTTCTATGAAAAGAAAAAATCGAATACATATAATACATATATATATATATATATATATATATATATATATATAGATAACTATTATAACTATTAATTATATATATATATATATATATATACTATATATATATAACTATTAAACTATATAACTATTAATACGTATAATAAATATTACATTATTCGCGTAATATACATATGTATATTACAATTTTAAGTAGTTGCAAGGAGCTTAGGAAAATGTTCTCGAGTTCAAATTCATAAAGAAGAACTAAAATGAAGTATCAAAGAAATAGAAAACATTGTGTGCTCTTGTTAGGATGAACGCACGTGGTCGTGTGTCAGCTGTCAGAGCTTTCAACATAGTCATCATCCGCATATGCGGTTAGATCCGTCGTTGACGGTGATAAACGCGATGCGAATCGTTGATGCGAAAAGCAGCCAGGTATACCTATAACTACTATCGCATAGCTTCGGAGCTCGTTTTTTTCAGGATCGATGATCACCGACCGCTTTCGAAAGGACGCGCGGAAATTGAAATCATGGCCCGTATAACATGCCGCATCGCGTCTCGGCTTTTCGCCTTTTTCTCTCTCTCCCTTTTTTTTCTTATTTTTTTTTTTTTTTTTACCCTATATTTTCCCGGAAAATTCTTTATGCCGTCTTCAATGCCTCTCGATGCCGCTGCATTTTCCGCAATGGCGCATGACATTTGTGCATACAAACCGGAGCAACGAGAATCCTCGCATGCCACGTGTAGGAGAAAAGTTTGCATAAATACCGAGAGTTGTTTTATTACACAATACGCAAATATACAAATAACGGCGAACGGGTTCGCGTTGAATTATTCGAAGTTAATTTCATTGTACCGGGTCGCAGAAAGTGGCTGACTGTGTACACTTAGTTTTAGTAATTAGCATTTTGCGTACACCGAGTTTAAAAATGAAAAAAAAAATCTTTCGAACTTTTCCGTTAAAATTCGAGAGCTCAAGAATAATTAAGGAAGATATTCATTATAGGCTATCATTTTATTGTTTACGCAGTATCATAGATTCCTTATTTTTTTACAGTATTGTAGATTTGCATATTTCTCTTATTTCGTATTTTACGATTTAATTTAATTTATACATTTTTTTAGTTAAATATATTCAACATACAATATAGGAAATTATATTTTAACATTATACAAGAAATCAAAGCTTCAAAGGAGAATAAAAAGAAATGTATTGGACATATTCTCCTATTTTAATAATGATTCTCTTATTTTATAATAATAGTATGCAACATTCGATTCTTTTATAATTATAATACTCGACGTTCGAATCGAATATTCTGCTTTTATCTGTCATATAACAATATGTCGCACCCTTATCGTCCAATTCTCGTTACATCATATCGCACTCTCCGAACAAGAGCAACCCTGAAACGTTAGAGTGAAAAAGAGAAAAAAAGAGAGAGGAGAAAAGAGGAGCAAAAATGAATAGAAGAGTCGAGTTTTTTTTCGTGGAAAATAAATTAATACGATACAATCGTCGCTCTTTGTGGATCCTATATCGCGCAGAAATATTCGTGAGCAAGTTTTATTGAAAGCATGATTTTGTTTCAGATCTGTTTCAGATACATTGTTTATAATATATGAATATTCGAATAATTTCATTCACATAATTTTAGTATTTGAAATATTTGTGAGTTTTATTGAAAGCATGATTATATATATATATATATATATATATTCGAATCTGTCAGATAAATCATTATTTATAATTATTCATTATTTGAATTATAATTGAATACTTCATTTATAATATTTATAAGCGAGTTTCAATGAAAGCATAATTTTTTATCGAATCTATTTTAAATACATCATTTATAACGCGTCTAAAAAATATATAATATATTAAATATATGTAAAATTATATAAATAATAAATGTAAAAATACACGATAAAAGCTATACATTTTCATCATTTATCGTGTAATTTTACACTTATTATTTATGTAATTTTACATATTTTTATGTAATATTATTACATATTTTTTTACAGTGTGTATTAAGTGTAAATATAGCTTTTTTAAATATATAATTTAATAATTAACGATTGCGCGATGACACACTCTTTGAATATATGAATTCCATTTCGCAAATTTAAATTACGCGCACTGCGTATTTAAATCATGACACTTTTCCGAAGGTTGATATGACGTCACGCATATTGTCAACAAACAATAGCGAGCGCGCGCGGCTCGTTGTATTATTTTCTCCTTCCAAGTCTCGTGTAATTCATGGAAGAGCGATACTGAATAATAGACTTCAGGGTCAATGTGCGGGATCGGAATTATTCGTGTATTTTCCATGACATGAGAACCATTATGCGAAGACGGATCGTTCGGAGTGGATGAAGGAAAGACAATGATTGGTTGCAGCAGCGTAGATTCTGGAGTATCCGTGAGTCAGATGATTTTCTATTCTTTTCGAAACTTCTATAACAACGATCATTTAATGCAGGACTTGTTCATTTAGACGCGCGTTAAAATTAAAATATAAAATATAATTGCTCGTATTTTAATCTCCTAATTTCGTACGTTATCGACAAACGTATTAATGAACGATGGCAGTAACCTAACTTCAACAGCAATGTTCGATTATGTCAGCGTTTGATTGACAGTAATTTCAAGTGCACCGAAATTTGATGAAACGATGTTCGATTTAAATTAAAATTTAGAAATTCAAATGATTTTAGGATTAAGAATTAGGCTTCGTAATACTTCATTCTTTTATTGTTGTATTCTACTTTGTTTTTTTTTTAAATATTTATAGCGTCTATTTTTTGCTACAACGCTAAGAAGGATACACATTTATTTTTTGATAAAGTTAATTTTAATAAATGAGTACGGCACTTCTTTTTCCTGCAAAGATAATTTTTCATATTCAAAGAATAGAATATACATCAATTCTATGAAAAACCTAAATCAAATATGATGCGTAAACTTTTTTGATATAAAATTAAATAATAAAAATTGTAGAGATTTAACAAAAATATGGAGAAATAATATAAATTAAATATAACGCGCGATACATTTTTTACATAGATTATCTCGAAATTAATGCTATTTTGAAATAAATAAATCCTCTTTTCAAACTCTAAAACACGGGATTTAGCTCTTTAAACACACATGTACATATATATATAAATGTATGTACGGGATCTGATTATTTTATGCACGTGACGAAGGTTCAATCGCACGTGTTTTCTATTCTTATTTCCGACCTCTACAAGATATATATATACATCCCTTGCACTCTTAGACGTTCTCGTTTTCCGATTTCGTGCTCTTTGCCTCATCATTCGTGTATCATCTCAGTCAGCTTTACAAGCCAGTTTTCAGCTCAGCGAAGCTTTCACTGCAGGCTTATTCAGTTTTCGCGATAACGATATTATATATTATATATACGTCGTGTAATGCATTTCTTAACCCTCCAACACGGCAAGTTTCGTGTGCGAGAAAGATATTTATTTTGCTATGAATATGACGGAAAAATAAGACGGTTTCGCGTCTGAGCGCCTCGGCGAGGAAATATTTTTTTCTCGTCAGAAAAAAATTCCAATTTTTTTTCTAACGCTATTATATATACTTTTGTAAAAAAATGCATCCTCAATTTTTGCGAGAAAAACTATCACTCGCGGAAAGCGGATTATTTATTTTTGTAGAGTTAAAATGTTGCTAAAGTATAAATGTTTAAAAGAAATATTATTAGTATTTATTTTTCGTAGAAAAAGTTGATGAAAAATAAGTATGTTATCTTCCTTAAAAATCTCTTCAACGAATGAAAAAGATTTCAATACAATACAAAATTGCCGCATTTCTCTCGCACTCTAACCTAGTGTATTTTCGTATTGTGTGCTTTTTGATGTCGTGCTAGCAAAAATTGCTTCGTTATGACCGACGGTTTCTGAAAAGAATTGTAAAAAGGAAAGAGCGTCTTGCCTTA